CCCTGCAACCCCACAACCTTACACAACCTAACACAACCTTACACAACCCTACACCAACCCTAAAACAACCCTAAGACAACCCCAACACAACCCGAACACAACCCTAAAACAATCCTAAACCCTCAACCCGCAACCCTACTTCAGCGGCTGGAGCTCTCGGGGCCCCCTCACGGAGACCGCATCTCATCGCCACTCCTCCCGTCTACTAAGAGCCCAAGACTTGGGATGCTTCTTTGCAGCTTTTTGTTGAGGGTTGGGGATTAGGGCCCTGGGGTTTGGGGGCTTAATTGGGGGTTTGGAGTTTAGGGTTTAGGGCTAGCGGCTAGGGTTTAAGGGTTTGGGGTTTGGGGCTTAGGAATGGAGATTTGACAAAGCGGTGATGTTTGCTCACTGACAAGATAAATCCAGCGGCCTGCCACCACCACAAATCAAAGGGATGCAAAGAAGCGCCTCTGGAATAAGCTTCTGCACTGCGATAAGGCGCCTCAGAACACGCCGGAAGACTGGGGTTTGAGTTTGAGGAAGAAGGGTAAACCGTACGACTGTGGGGGACAGAGATCTCCGAGCCCACTGGAGAAATGCACGGCTTAGGCGGGAGGAGATGTCTTGTATGCAGCCTCCGAATAAAGAGCTGAACCGCCCCCCCCCGCCCCCCCTCACCCCGCATCGAAAACTGCAGGATGCCCTAAACCCTAAACCCTAAACCCTAAACCCTAGACCCTAAACCCTAAACCCTAAACCCTAAACGCTAAACCCCGAATCCCCGAAACCTAAACCCTAAACCCTAAACCCATATTACAGCCCTCAGCCTCGTAACACACACGTCTGGCACCGTCTGGCACCTCAGCCTTGAGACAGAGCCAAAGCCTCTTACAGCAAATGTCCTGGAATCGAAGGATGCGCAGATGCTCAACAACCGAAGCCCATAAACCCTTCATCTCCTAAACCCTTTAAACCCTTCAAGCCCCTCAAGCCCTTTAAACACTTTAAAGCCTCATACGTCCCAGAAACCCCCAGCACCCCAGAAACCCAAGAAATGCACACCCTATAAACCCTGAAATGCACGTAGGATCCCTCGAACAAATAGACCCCTGAATCCTCAACCCAAAGCCCCTGAATCCTGAACCCTAATCCCTAATCCCTAACCCCACTTTCTTGTCTTTTGGGGTAGGCGGGCGCTGGCCTCCAGGCTGGCTTACCCTCCAGGCAGGCACGGGCCGAGTCAGCAGTTGTCACTTCTTGTTGTCCCCCAAACCCGAGCTGTCCGCACACATTGTTGGGTCCTGCATTGGAGGCCCCCTAGGCGGGGACCCCGCCCTGCCCCTGGCCCTCGCCCTGGCCCTGGCCCTGGCCCTGGCCCTGCCCCTGCCCTGGCCATGTGGCCATGGCCCTGACTCCTGGCCTGGCCCTGGTTTTGACCTGCCTGCCCTGGCCTTGCTGGCTTTGCTGGACCCTGTCACCTTACCCCCTTCGCGCCAAGCCAAGCTGTCCGCACACCCGTTTTGTGCCTGGTCCACGCCTGCCCTGTTTCCGTGACCCTCTGCCCAACCCAAGCTGTCCACTCGCTTCGCGCCAACAAGCCTCGCTGCCTTTGTCTGTTCCTGGCCCATCCTGGCCTTAGCCCCTTCGCGCCAACCCAAGCTGTCTTCGCTGACCCTGGCTCGCCTTTCCGTCTGACTGGTGTCTTCCTGCCTCCTGGCCCTGCTGCAGCTTTGTGCCTGGTCCACGCACGTGAGTGCTGACTCATGTGGTGCTTTGTAAAATAATAAACGGTCCTAACTCCTTGAGAGTTGTAAGTGGGCGGTCTTGGGGTGGGTAGGTCTGCAGACTACCGCGCGCTCCCAAAGCGCGCTTCCGTTTGGCACGCCCTAAACCCTAAACCCTAAACCCTAAACCTTAAACCCTAAACCCTAAACCCTAAACCCTAAACCCGAAACCCGAAACCCGAAACCCTAAACCCTAATTAAACCCTAAACCCTAAACCCTCGCCCTCCACCCAAAAGCCCAAGGAACCCCACAACCCTCAACCATCCAAGCGATTCAAGCCCCCACATGGCGGACCTCAGTTCAGTGCAACATCGCTCCTGGAAGTCATCCCGTTCAAGCGGGTTTAGGGTTTAGGGTTTAAATTTAGGGTTTAGGGTTTAGGGCTCTTGTGAGGCTTATACAGTACCTTCTTTTCGGGGTGGTGGCCTCAGTATGAACGAGTATCCAAGGCACTAGAAGAGGTTGCGAGAAAAAAGGGCTAAGGCCTGAGCTTCAAGAGGCATTTCTTCTGACAGTGGGACATTTTGGAGCTGCAGGATGCAAAGAAACCGTGTGCGGACGTCAACCATGGGGTGTGCCGGCTGCTGACCCTACAGCCAAACATCTCATGAACCGTCCTTTGAAGCCTACTGGGGCTCTGTTGTCTTCTGATTTGATGGCTCTGGCAATCTTGTAGTGGTCGCTAGGAGGCAAACTCCCTACACAGCCGAAAAACAAAGCCCACCCCCCCCCCCCCCCCCCCCCCCTTGAAGACCATCGAACCCCAACCCTGCGCGAGTCCTCCAGTTCTTTTTGTCCCCTCGGCTCGACGTCGCCTGTAATGCGCACTGCTGAGGGTTTGAGGGTTAGGGTGTTGGGCAACTCGATCTTGTTCAGAGTGTGTGGGGAGCTAGTTTCTACAGGGCCAGAGAGAAGAGAATGAGAGGATTCATGTGAGGTAAGATCTTTGGTACTGCGGACTCGAGGTCGTGAATCATATGAAGGTGAAACAGCTTAGATTTGCACTAAGCACGGTAAGCAAGCACAGGACATCAAAAGTAGAGAAACATGATAGTGCCAATCAATGGTTGAGTTTCGCAAGAACAGAGGAGATTGCGTCAATGGCTTCATCACATGTTGTTAAGCCCAATCAGCGAAACTCTGTGCATCAATCAGGCAGCACAGCTTTGAAGCAAACATATTGAAGCATATCAGGAGCCTTGCAGAAGAAACTTTGTCGCTTACAGAAAAGACAACGGAAATCCATCCTCCAATCCGAGGACAGGACGTGTGGAAGTCGTGCTTCGTTGATATGTGCAAGCTCCACAACCCTTGATTTCTGGTATCCTCACAAGGACACCCAATGCAAACACTCACCACTTATAAGGAAGCATATACGAATGCACCAAAATAACAGCAGTATGAACCCTACTTCATCTACTGCATAGATATGTGCCTCTGCTCCGAGCCCCCGCATCCCAAGCACAGCCTAAACCCAAACCTTAAACTCTAAACCCTGAAACCCTGAAACCCCAAACCCTAAACGCTAAAAAGCTGAAAGCCTAAATCCTAAACCTAAACCCCAAACCCCAAGCCCCCTGAAACCCTAAACCCTACAAACCCTAACCTAAACCCTAAACCCCACCTCAGCCCACCCTGGGGCCCCATGCAGATGGAGTCCAGAAGCGCGGCGATGAGCTGAAAGCTGCGTGCCTTTGAGGGCTTTCGGGTTTCGGGGCTTGGGGTTTAGGGTTTAGGGTTTAGGGTTTCAGGGTATAGGGTTTCAGGGTTTAGGGTTTCAGGGTTCAGGGTATTTCAGGCCTTACATGGGACCCGCTGCTTCCCCACCCCTCCTCCTCTTCACAGGACTCAGAGCTAGAGATTGCGGCCCCAAGCTCAACGAACGCTTTAGGGTTTAGGGTTTAGGGTTTAGGGTTTAGGGTTTAGGGGAAGAAGGCTCCACCTCGGCCCTGTTAATGCTGTTTAGGGCTTTAGGATCTTAAGGACATAGAAGCCGAGCCATCCTACACCCTCGACAAGACCATACGTTCTCCGACGCACCTAGGTCTCCAGGAGGGATCCGACAAAGCCATCTAGTCCCTGTGGCCAAAGCAGCTCGAGGATCTTAGGATCAGTGAAGAGTTCGAAGTCCAAAACGAACCGTATGAGGATTAAGGGCCTAGGGCTTAAGGAGTGCAATCGAGACAGGCTACTGACTTGCGCTTTTCCGCCCTACGCGGGTGCCGTTGTGCCTGGGTTGACCCATCGCGCAGGTTGGCGTGAGTCGCAGACCCTGCAGCCGCCATTGACGATGCTGCATATCGACTGGTCACTAAGTTCTGCTGGAAGAAAGCTTCCAGCTCTTCAAAACTATGGTCCCTTCTTGGGTATCCTAAATCTGGCGCCCCGCAATTGGTACTCAAAGAAGGGGCGGGACGGTGACTGAAATTCTATGGGCCAGCTCTCTGACTTGCCACAGCAAACAAGCCACAGGCATCTTAGCGGCAGCGAGGCTGGAATGAGCAGCCGCGTGCTATGCACGGTACTGCCGCGAAATGGAACAAACAACCTGGAACATTACAGCACACCCTGCGGTCCACTGGCGTGTCCAAGTGTTGAAGGCTCTAGGGCATCAGGGGTTTAGGGTTTAGGGTTTAGGGCTTAGGGATTAGGGTTTAGGGTTTAGGGTTTAAAAAGGCCATGGAAGGAGACCAACAATCTTCTCGGAAATAAGACGGCTACAGCAGGCACCCCGAGCACAGACTTCACGGACTGTATGATATATGTACATAGTGTATATAATCTGTATACATATATATATATACACATATATGTACATGTAGATAGGTAGATAGCTGGCTAGATAGATAGATAGCTAACCAGATCGTGTGTGTGTGTGTGTGTGTGTGTGTGTACATGTCTGTATATTATACTATCTCGACCTGCCAAGCTGCCTCAAATCTGTGTTGTGCGTTGTGGCTGCAAACGGGTATGCAAAAGAGGCTCTTTAGGGTTTAGTTTGGATGGAAATGGAGATTCGTGCCAAGAATACTTGTCATGAGAGAAACTGGGCCTCCACCCTAAACCACACGACGGCTTCGAGTTGTCTCTCCCGCTTTGTGGTTGGATTATTATTGCTCTCCAAAACTGAGTATACATAGTTCAAAACCACAAAGAACAACCAAACAGAATGCATCCGTGCATATGGATGATTCTGTATGCTTGGACACAAGTGGAGAAATCCGCAGTGATGGCTAACACTCCGCCTTAAACGTGGCAACGCACATGTGCTGAAAGACCCAGCCGAAACATCCAAGTGCGTAAGGGGCCCACATAACTGACAGTGAGCTGGTACACACGTCACGAACTGGCAGAAATACCTGGCTGAAATCGCAGTTGCATAGATGTGTGAGGTAGACTACTGACAAGATGTCGGCACTGATGTCACAGATGCACACGACGGCGAGGAATTTCACGCTGTCCAAGCCGTATGTAAAGAGGAACGTCTTAAGCATGCGTGGGAGCACCCAGGCCAGTGGACTGAGGAGCAGCAAACTGAGTAGGGCCGCCGTGAGTCCCCAGCCTAGAACGATCGCTTCGAAGCTCAGGTGTTTCAGGAGATCTTCGTCACTTAGCCAAGGCCTCCCGTCGAAACATCTCTTGCGAATTCTTCCAGCAAGTCGAGCTCTTTGGGTTCGCCACGCGATCGTGGCGCAGTCGCACACCACCCAGATTCCGACGCTGAGCCAGTCGCGGCACTGCGCCGCAGACAGGGACGTGTGCAATCCCACGTTCACGGCCAGAGGAAACATGCCATACCGAAGCCTGCGTCCCGAAGCCCTTTGTAAACACTTAAAAGCCCTGTAAACCCCAAACGCTACATAAACCATAACCCTATAGACCCTGACATATACCCTAACAATCAAAACATCTCCCAAGCCGTGGTCCTAGAAGCATCGCGGGGTTGAGGTGAGATGCCGCGGCCTTAAAGATTTCCACGCTCATCCATTTCAGGACCAGGGAGATGAGAGGTCGAGCCACCTCGGCAGATGCGGTGTAGGGCGTCTCGGTTCGGAGGTCTAGGGTTAGAGGATTTAGGGAACAAGGGTGTAGGTGTTGGGCCAAGTAATTTATTATAAGGTTTGAGCCAGGTTGAGAGCAAAGGCGTCATGAGTCCACCCCCTGCAAGGGTTGCTTCCAAGACAACCGCAGCCCAGCGAGAAAAATGGATGCCAACAAAGGTCCGCCGAGGCCTCGGGCCGAAGGTGTATAGGTAGTCAGAACAGGCACCCCCCTCCAAATCCTCCCTCCAGCCCTTTTTTTGCCTCAAATGGGTACCCCCCCTAGGTGAGCAGGGTCCGCAAGCGGATGGTTCGCCAGGACCAGAGGCAGTTGCAGCCCTTCCCAGCTGACCCCCCACCCCCCCAACCCCTCCCCCCAACCCTACCCACCCCCCCCCCCTACCCCCCCCCCTACCCCCCCCCCCACCCCCCCCCCCCTGCCCACCCCCCACCCCCCACCACATGAGCGCTGGCTGGAGGCTGCTATGGGCACAGGTGGCTTGATGTTTTTATGTGTCGCTATCACACCCAATGCCCCCTCCGGGCCCACCCCCCCCCCCCTCCCCCCCCCCCCCACCCCCCCACCCCCCCCCTCCCCACCCCACCTCCCCCCACCCCACCTCCCCCCTCCCCCCACCCTGCCCAAGAGTCGCCTTAAACCTTAAGGGGCCTGGCTCAACCCTACGATCACTCCAAGCCGAACCCAAAACCCAAAAAAACCCTCAACCCCAAAGCGTGAACCTTGAGCCCTAAACTAACCCTCAACCCCAAACCCCAAACCATAAACCATAAACCCGGAACCCTCAACCCTCAACCCTCAACCCAACCCTTATTGCTTGGGGTCCAGCGACTTGGGCGCTGCGGAATCACCATGCTCACGCGGATGCGCTGGGCCGGGCCGAGGCGGGTCGCGTAGCGTTAAAATTAAGTTAAGCCGCTGCAGCGACCATGTCGCTCATGTTCGGGCCTACCACTGCAAAGTCAACAGCGACGTAGTTCACCGGCAGAACCGCGGCAACCCAACAAGCCACCAAACACAGCAGGTCAAGACAGAAGTGCCTTCCTTGCTGTCTGATGTATTCCACCTGGGAGCACAGGCCTAGCCAGTGGTCGTCTCCACGGCAGTAGCGTATGCCTGCCACCATGGAGGGCACGAATACCACGCACATAAGAGTCGGCCAGAAACATGTCGAGAAGAAGACGCTGACATCTTTCCCTGCACCGGCCAGAAAGGGAAAAGGCACGTTGGTGACGACAAAGGGCACGAGGCTCACCCGGAGGAAGAAGGCGTGACATCTCCAGTTCGTCATAAGCGCTGGATTGAAAAATGCTGGAAAGAAGAAGCCCAGGAAGCATGGGCTGAGAGCTGCCATCATCAGCCGGTTCAGGAAGCCACTCCAGAAGCTCCCGCTCTTGTGGCCGGGGACGGGCCACATCCCACTGGCAGCCAGGGAGGTGGCGCAGCAAATGCCCACCAGAAAGGCCGAGCACCAACTGGCCACAATCAATCGCGCGATTCGCTGTGCCCTGCCAACAAGAGGCAAAGGTTGTCCAAACGCTTCTGCCCAACTCTCCGCGTGGGCCTGGCCTGCAGGCACAACAGTGAAAGCCTCACTGCGCTTTGTCAAAAGCTTGGGCTTGGCTCCTGCCACATGAGGCTCATTAGGCTCTTCCTCTGGCTTCTCCTGACCCAGGTTCGACAGCTGCGTGCAGGGTGCCACCTTGGCTTGTCGCATGGCTGTCCACACCTCCACTTCTTCTTATAAGGGGGCCCCTGGGAGCCGGATGCGGTGGATCCTAGTAACCTGCAGAGTGCGGGTTGCGGGTTTAGGGTTAAGGGGTATAACTTTCCGAGTGTTTATAAGACTCTTATAAACCCTAGAACCCTAAACCCTACAGCACCTGGCTAGGCGAACCCCGGCTTAAGAGCTTTGCCACGAACTGTTGGCGACAGCCTCCCAGCAACGTGTGTAGCGCATGACAAGGCAGAGAAGGCAAGCCCGAAGTTTACTAGAGGCTAAACCCAGCCCTAAACCCTATTTGAACCTAAACCCTGAAGCCTAAAACCTAACGCTAAACCCTACACACCCTCGAAACCTCATCTCCAGTGTCCCCCGGGGAGCCCATCCTGTGACAGCAGCCGCTCGCGTCTGCGATGCAACTCCTCACTGCATGACATGCTCTTGGTAGCCCAGTAACCACATTATAATAAGGGTTTAGGGTTTAGGGCTAGGGTTTAGGCTTAGGGTTTAGGGCTTAGGGCTTAGGGCTTAGGGCTTAGGGCTTAGGGCTTAGGGCGTAGGGCTTAGGGCTTAGGGCTTAGGGCTGAGGGCTTGGGGCTTAGGGTGACTGAAAAGGGAACCTGGAGCCAATAAACGGGCAAAAGGGTACCACTGGGCTGCAACGTGCTTTTGAAGGACAGGCGCCAAGAGGGCAATAGCATTCAAGGAGCTAAGGCTGAGCGTTGAGTGAGTGATGTGGGATTTCGGGTTTAGGGTTTAGGGTCTTGCTGGAAGAGCAACGTGTGGCGGTGCGGGGGAGCAGTGGGGGGGGTGGGGGGGGCAAGATTCTGATCGGACTGATGCTTTCCCCGCGAACAACTCCTTTGCCCTTCAGGCGCTGTGCATGCGGGCGATCTTCTGCTCTGTTTTCAGATCCAAGTCCAAGTCACCCTCCAAGTAACCGGTGGGGGGGGGGGGGGGGGCGAATGCAGCGTCTGACGCCGGCCAAAACTGCCCTAACCAGGAATTATTTCAGGCTAGCAAGCCTGAATCCATAAACCATCCCCAACCCCTACCCCCTAAACCCTCAACCCTCTATCCGGTCCTGCGTCATGTCCTTCCATGTGGGCGCTGGCTCGTGGGCCGGGCGGCCAAGAAGGTGCTGGGCCTGAGTGAAGGTATTTAGGGGTGGGAGGAGGGGGACGGGGGGGTTCAAAAAGTAGATCTACAGAGGGTTGAGGCTGGACAGTTGGGAGGTGATCTGAGGGAGTTCGAGGTTTGGGTTGTAATGTTGGACCTGCTTTAATAATGTAACCCCCCCAAGCAAACGAGGACCTGAATTTAAAAAAACCCCAAACAATCGGAGGCCTCCGTAAGCTACCCCCCGACCCTGGAAAGGTCGAGGCTTCAGGCTTCAAGTATCCCTTCTTCTCGAGAAAGCTTCTGCCTTCCTGAAAACCGAAGGACTGAGCCCCGGGCCCCGGGAGACTTGCATTATAGCGGGCCCCCAAACAAAGGTATTAAAGTATGTCCGGAGGCCTCCGTAAGGTACCCCCTTTCCGGATATGATTCGCCTATGGAATCATGAAGTTTTAAGTACGGAAGTTATAAAGAAAAGGCGCCCTAACAAGAAGATTTTCGGAGATCCTGGAAAGGTCGAGGCTTCAGGCTTCAAGTGTCTCTCCTTATAGCGCCTTGGAATATTGCGGGTGCAACATTAGATGTAGGGTTTCGGAGTGCTGGTGTTGGAGGGTCTGGGGTCGCAGTGTTCTTCCTCAGCCTTTTTCCCTTATGTTCGCTGGTTGCTGCATACTGGTTATTCGGAAGTTCTGTCTTGGAACCGTGCATTGTCAGGGAGGTGACCTGCAACATTCTGGAACAGAGTCGGCATCGGTTGCTTCTGGCTTTCCTTGCCCTCCCAGTGGCCGAGGGCCTAGGTGCTGCGTTGGGCCTCGCTTGCGCGGCTTGCTGCAACTTGCTGCAACTTCAACCTACTGTTTACGACTCCCTGGCATGTTGATCCGTTGAGTCAAACTTGCCAACTACAGTCCATACAAGCGGAGATGCGGAAGGCTAGCTGACATGGGGGCTGCGGCTTGTGACATTGCCTGTCAGAGCCTGCTGCCAGCTGCATTCTGAAGTCTCAGAGCAGCACCCGACAACCTTAAGCCCGCCGATTGCCCAAATAAGTAAACCCGAAACCCTAAACCCTAAACCCTGAATATGCTGAAGGATACCGGAGGGCCCGTTTTAGGGAGCATGAAGGCTCCATTTCCAGATCATCACCAAGACATCTCAGGTTTTGGGTGGCCTCATTTTCCTGAGCGCGGAGCAACTAGAAGAACGTCCCACTGGGCGCTGGCCTGAAGGCTGTGCCACGTGAGCGATGTCTCTTGTCCGGCGGACGACAGTATCTCACCCCTTTTCCTCAAACCTCAAAGCATGAGCCCCCTGGCCGCTTGAGATCCGTCTTCCGGAAATCCTTCACTCCTACACCTTGGGATGTTCCCCACTTACACCAACAGTCCCTAATTGGGATTCTAGCAACCCCTACTAGAATCCCTTTGGACTGTTTGTCTGGGGGAATTTAACATCCCAACCTACATCCCGGGTTGGTCTGCCGCGCCTTGGCAGCTGCTGCCGCCTCTCGCGCCTCTGGGCGTGTAACTAACCTACCTGGTGAAGGCTTCGATTGCGGGCTTCTGAAACCTCCGGCAAATCCCAACAGCGGGAAGCCCTGAAACGGCCCCATCCCAGCGTCAAGTAGAAGGGTTTAGGGTTTGGGATTTGGAGTTTGTATATATATATATATCCAAAGGGTCCAAAGTACCTGCATAGTAGAAAGTAGGGTTTCCAGAATAAGAATTACTATTATGGTTTGGGCAAGAGTCCCCCATATAGGTACTTAGGACCCTTTGGGATATATATATATATATATATATATACATATACATATACATATATGCATATATATGTATATACATATGTATATATATATATATACATATACATGTATATGTATAGGTTTATATATACATATATAGCGATCTCTATATGTATATATATGGGCGTCCGCCTATTGCGGTTCCCCTTAGTTTTTTCAACGTCATAACCGTATGTATAATCTAACACTGAATGACAGTTATAACCACAACATATGAGTTATAACTTATATCCCTATATATTCTATTGACACATACCCACTCGTATATATATTTGTAGAGCTCGTCCAGGCTGACGAGGACGTAGGCACCTCAGATGGTGCGCACATGCTTTTATTCAGGTGTTTTTTTTTGCAGCTCACACTGTCGCACTGGATTTTTTCCCCACTGTTGTCGCGACTGTCGCGAATGTGCTTAGATGGCGATGAATGCATTTCTGCACTTGCCACCTTCATTCGACCGTGCCAGGCCCTCTAGCACTGACATCATGGAGCTACCGACATTAACATAGAACATGTACTCCTGCATATCGGGCTCTTCGATACGCAAGTACCCGTGCCGCTGGCGAGACCATTTCTTCAAGCGGTTATCTCTGACTCGGCATCATTGGTATGGAAACCAGTGGCAACATCTCGGAAGCATTTGTCATGCTTGACCGATGGTGGATGCTTGTACCCTAACTGATCTGCTGCCTTTGTAGTAGCAGTCCACCCGTCAAAGACTAGGGTACTGTGCTTGCGAACCCTACTGTGCAGAGTGTCCCTGATCTCATGCAGCCCACGAGGCTTGTTATTTACAGCCTGGGATGTACGTGGCAAGAGTCTGTACGTGATCTTCTTCAAACCATTTCCATGTGTGAAGACCTTAGACCCACGACCAACACACACAGCAAGCCACAACCACTTTCCATTGAGCTTGAGATTCTGCGCGGGCTTCTTCAGTACACGAAGAGGACGTCGATGCGCCGCAGGACGTTTCATGGAGGTAAAGGTCGATGGTCTCTTCACTGCGGCAGATGGACGTTTCATGACGGCAGCAGGCTTTTTGAGGAGGGTGTACGATCCCGCCGCCTTGCTTTCACCTTTTCTGAGTGTCCTCGCAGGGAGGACTTTCATACCCTGGGCCTTCTTCATGGAAGGGGTCTCAGAACGCACATTGCTTCGTTCCTGTGGGTAGCCACTCTTGTTGATGCCGTTGTTGCCCATTGACCAGCCATCCTCTGGATGTGTGCCAACCAGACATTCGTCAATCACGACGGTGTAGTTCAGTCCTCCTATCATCATTTGGTCCATGTTCTTCAACGCCCTCCCCAAGGCTTGTTGAAAAGATCGACGCCATTGAGTCATCGTGTGCTCCTTGATATTGCCATAGCCGAACTGAAGCTCGTTGATGATATGTACCCAAGGCATACCCAGGCGTAGCATATTCAGCATGTGAAGGAATGCTAGCCAATTGCTGATTGTGATCTCTTTCATGAACCCGTGAAAGTTGACGGGAGCATTCATATGTTTGTGTCCGCTTGTCCGACATGTCCATCTGTATCTCAAACACCCATCTGGATTAGAGCACTCCAACCGAGTGGGACCATTGCATTCCGTGCACTTGTGCATTCCCAATATAATGCCAGTTCGCAGCATCAAAGCAATGGCTCTCAATGTCAAGCTAACGTTTTGCCCGTTGCTATCCAGCACCCGTCGATCTATGATGTAGTGCTTGAAGGATGTGTCGGACTGAAACCACTCTTCACACATCTTCTTCTGGAAGTCAAGAAAAGTGATGTCATCCAAGCGCCTGCCATGTAGGCCACCGGTTTTAGGTAGCAACGGCATATCAACCCACTCACATGTAAGCAAAATGCCTTCAGGGCAAGCAGACATGGAATCACATTTCGCTGCGATGCTCGTCTAAATGCCTGCACATAGACCACAAGTTTTACCGGTGCATAAGGAAGTCTTTATCAGAGTTTCCCCGGCTCAGACTCCGCTTCATATGCTCTCCGAATTTGCATCATACGCTCTATCTCGGATCAAAACTGAAGCTGTCCTAGCTCCACATCCGATTGGTGCACTCTAC